AAACGCAGTTGCGATAGTCTACTCTGCAGTCCATCATGTCCATTCGTTGACAAATGCTTCAAAGGTTATCATCAGAAGAGTTATGACTCAATATTAGAGTTTAGAAACTCAAAATAATAATGATTCTCTAAACTCTGTTTGGAAGGGGGAGCGTGGAGTCGGAAGTGCTTAGAGTACTTAGCCTACTTATCCTACTTAGTACACTTAAGGTGGGGACGTGTGTCCGCCCCCTCTCCCGCTCCTCCTTCCATGCTGGAAGAAGGAGGCGGAATAACCCAAGTACCTAAAAAATTTGGGAAAGCGTGCAGCAATTTGGATTGCCTATTGACTTTTGATTTTAAATTTTGGACCTATTTTTACCCTCCTTAGGTGGAAATAGTCCGGAACAAGGAAGAAAAATTTTATTTTAAGGTAATATTTTTAAGGTCATAGTTCAACATACTGGAGGGAAAATGTGGTATCAAGTTTGGTTTGATGAGCTAGGAAACCCAAACCCAGTTGTTTGTTGTTTTATTCATCCATAACTCATAGCCCAGCAAGTTTTTCATGTGTTCGTTAAGATCTTCGTACCAGAGTACGAGCTTTCCCACTTCGCTTCCTCCTTTTAGCTCTCGTAGTTTCTTTATTAGCCATTGCCTACCTTCTAGAGTTGCTGTTCCTCTGAAAGCGTCTAATTTATTTTACAGAGCTCGTTGATATGGATTTTCACTTCAAAGCATATCCATTCGGGTCTCAGATCATTGAAATTGCAACATTTATTGTTGTGTGCATTTTTTATGAAGGTTTTATACCGATATTGAAGATAATAACGATTATGAGACTGAAAATCGATCCAAAAGCTCATGCATTTGCCATCAGACGAGACAACGCCCTGATTTTCGGCTCTAAGATACGAGCATCCAGCGCATCAAAGGAGGCCAGAACCGTTCGAAGAGAAAACAGAAACGCTGAATATAGTTTTTTTCAAAGTCGAGGAAGGTCCAATGTAAGCCGCAGGAATGGCAGATTGAATATATGTAAGTTAAAAATATAATTTTAACTGACTGCAAAATATTTTACATGAAACTTTAAACGCGTTTTTCTCAGAACTGTTTTTGAATCTGATACCCACGATTTTTCACCTTCTGCCGAACCAATTTACTTGAAATTGTAAGAAAGTCTTCTTTAGGGGCTTGTTTACGTCCGGAACTACGCCATCCCTAAATTTTTATTTTTACTATTTATAAAAAAAACAAAGAATGTTTAAAAAGTGGTGGAAAGTTGATTTTTTGGACAGTCGCCATTTTGTAAAACATATTTCTGTAACTTTAGCGTAGTTCCGGACATAGGAATATTATTTTAGAGTAATAACTTTTTTTTATTTTTGGATTCAGATTGCTAGGAGAGTTTAAATTGTGGGTATGATCTGGCACCACTCCATCAGCTGTTAAGTAAAGGAATTTTAAATTTCGTTACTTTTTTGAATGCTTTTAATGTTAATAAATAAAGCATAAAAAATTGATAATAAAAATATTACTTTCCTTTTAACAGAACTTCAATAATTACCCAAAATTCATGTCTCTAGACCAGAATACACTCTAAACACATATTATTACGTTTTCTAAGAAAACTCACAGCTTTCTGAGAAAAAAATAGTTGTCCACATGGAAGGTCATGAACCATAGCGAATAAAGTCGATACTTGAAGATTCACATTGTCAAAATATATTTGAGTAAAACGTACTTACGCAAAGAAGCTAGGTAAATTGACAAATTGAGTACTTTATAAAAGAGAACAACTAACCCAACATAGGGACTACAGTAGATACATATTTTAGTGCATCGAAATTTAACCGAAAGGAGTATGATTATTACATGAGTAATAATATTAAATAATAAATTACACGCTCTTTTAATTAATATTTGAATAGAATTTGTGAAAAGATATGACGAATTTTGACAATGTCAATTTGCACTGCGTATGCGTTCAGACTTGGTAGATGAAACAGTTCTGAAATCTGTTTGTGAACAATCACCAGCATTTGAATATGCATGGTGTCACAACAAATTTATTTAAATGCAAATTTGTTTTGAGTTGCAGCAAAAATCGCCTATGTGAATGAAAATTCGCTAATAAAAAGTTAAAAAAATAATATGCATACTTTCACCTTTTCCAGAGTTGTGATTTAATATCACGGTGATTGAAACGTTAAAATGTGGATGGCAGTTACCTACTTAGAAGGGAAACATTTGCCTAATTTGATTATATTTAGACAAAGGTGGGTCATACCTATGAGAGGAATTCCAACGTGAGAAAATGAAATTATTGGTTTAACAAACTGAGTTAAGAATGAGAGCGAAAAGATTGAATTTATTTGAACTGATACTGGCGATACCAATCGCATTGTACTTATTAAAACGTGTTCGAAGACATGAGTTTTGTTTGATAAATTGTTGAAAAATTAGAGGCTTAAACCAACCTATAGTGCTTATGTTACTATAAGTGTTTTCCTTTAATTTCCTAAAGGCCGTTATAAATGTCTCACTTTTGTTAACATTAAAACGAATTAATAACCTTCCTTCTAAAGGATCAACTTTGAACAAACGGCCCTCTTTAAGACAGTATTGTGATAAAAAATTTTCGTTATTTAATTTTAATGCTTTTACAAAATGACATTCCAAATATTTAAATATAAATTTCCAAATGAAAATTAAATATTAACAATTGTTTCAGATTTGATGAGGCCCCCATCTTCAAATGGAGATAAAAGAAAAAATTGAAAGACTGATTTGTTCAAAAGTTGACTACATTTATCTGAAAATCGAAACGAAATTGTAGTCGAATTGAGCCATTTCATTGCTATCGAAGAACTTATTATCCGCATTTTAGGCTGAACGAATTGTGTTGGTCAATGCATTGACGCGCTCATAAAACAATACAGATTGATCGAGAGCAAATCATTCCATTAACTAAAAGTGATAAATAATTAAAAAATATCATAGAACGCTTTTTTAATTCCATTTAAGGCACTTCATTATCATTGAACTAAATTAAACATCTTTGCATTCTTTGACCTTCAGCGTAGCCTTTCTTCTATTGAATTTAGGTTACTTTCAATTGGGAGTGCCTGCATTTTGTTTATCAATTTCAGATGCCAATATTGTTACCTCTTTTGCAAATAAATGGAATGCATGAGCCACGGTGTGATCTGAACGACTTTGGTAAGCAAATAAATAGCAGCTGTCAAAGCGCAGTTGGAGTGCCTTAAAATTCTAAAATTTATTTATTTATTTCAAATGGCAGGCTTTATGATATTTATCATTAGCCCTTAATCTTTGACTTCAGCTTCCCCCAAAGAGGGTGGGGGGTACATTTATAGCAGTTAATTAATAGCAGTTCATTAGCCGTCTTCTTGCTTCCCAGAATCTTTGGCTTTCCGTGCTTGTCTTTAGGGCTGGACACTGAATCAAGTGGGTCTTCTCCATTTCCTCCTGTAAGTTACATAGAGGGCATGCGGATTGAGTGTATACTCCCAATCTGTCAAGGTGTTTTGCCAAGCAATCGTGTCCGGTACGTAGCCTAAACTCAGCAACGGCTTCGATTCTTGGCCAGTCGACTACGTCGGAGAGTGACACTGTCCACTGTTTCTTCTTTGTTCGAGCTTTAATTTCATTGGACCTTGAGGTATGTAATTCTCTCCTGATTAAGGCCTTCATTGTAAGGAAAAACATCGGCCGGTCCATGCATTGCAAAATCGTTGTCCCCTTCTAAGCAAATGTGTCAGCAAGCTCATTGCCTTTAATGCCACAGTGACCAGGAATCCATTGTAGGACCACTGTTTTGTTTTTCTCTCTCAGCAGCTCATAGAGTTTTCTACATTCATTTATCTCAGCTGTTTTGAGAGGCTCTCAGTTTCCAATAGAGTTTATTGCTGACTGTGAGTCCGAAAGTATCACCGCTTTGGTGAATTTCGCATCCAGGCAACATAATTGGCATAGTGCTATCCTAATAGCCTCTTTCTCCTTCAAAAGCGGAAATATTATGTCCCTCTGCTGCGTAGAAATAAAAGCGTTCAGAATAGATACCTGCACCAACGTTTGCTTGGTTTTCTACCCATCAGTGAAGACTTGGAGCCATTGATCTCCAAGATAGTGGATATTGATTGTCTCAAGGGCCAAAGAAAGCATTTGCTCTGGAGGAGTGTTTGATTTCCTGAATAAGTCGAGCAGTTGGGTGCAACACACTACATCAATGTCTGATAATGGGTTCATGGGGAGGGAGAGACTTTTTGGTTTATCATCGATTTGAAACGCTTTCTTCAGTTCTATGGCTTTCTGTATTAGACCAGATTGCGTTTTCAGATGTCTTGGTCTCTTCTCATAGGTGGTGAAGAACTTGTCCATGGGAATGCGCAGTAGCTTCTCATACAGGATCAGGGCCCTTTCTTTGATAAGGGAACCTATTGTGGTGCTTCCTGTAACTAGGAGCATTGCATCAATGGGTGTTGATATTATCCCTCCAGTAATAAGTCTTAATGCTTGGTTGTGTGCCTTCTCGAGGGGTTTGAGAGTCACCTCTGTGGTTGTAATGAGTGGCTCACAGCAATACAACATTATTGGCTGAATAAACATCTTGTAAGTGATGTTGGGAGTTGAGCATTCACAGCCCCATACGCTACCAGCAAGAGGCTTCAGGACATTCAGTCTATTGNTCGATAGTGTTTAGTCTTGCCTCTGGGAATAGTTTTCTTTGCACATCTGATCATTATATTCGTGATATCAGTGCAAAGTTTCTCAGTATGTTGGTTGAAGTTGAGGGAACGTCTGTGAAGTTCATTCTCTAAAAGGTTAGTGAATCTAGGTCAATCAATTCTTGAAGTTCCATGGAGTTGTTGGGCACTTTCCTTGACATGCTTTTTGCTTCTTGAAGTTCCATGATAGCTTAGTTGGCACTCTCCATCTCATGCTTTTGCACTGCCGATGGTAATCCTAGCAATGACTGGTTTGTGACCAGAACCAGGATCATGTAATACTAGCAATGACTGGTTTGTGACCAGAACCAGGATTGTTAATTATTTTGCGCCGTGTATGCTCACTGATGTTGCTTGAAGCCACGAGTAAATCAGGAGTTGTTCTGGTTCCATTGTAGTGCAAATATGTAGCCGGATCCTCATTGCTGTAAATAAGTTCCAGAGGGTTGCTGTTTAGCATGTCTATAANGCAAAGTTTCTCAGTATGTTGGTTGAAGTTGAGGGAACGTCTGTGAAGTTCATTCTCTAAAAGGTTAGTGAATCTAGGTCAATCAACCTTCTTGAAGTTCCATGGTAGCTTAGTTGGCACTTTCCTTGTCATTCTTTTGCTGCCGATGGTAATACTAGCAATGACTGGTTTGTGACCAGAACCAGGATTGTTAATTATTTTGCGCCGTGTATGCTCACTGATGTTGCTTGAAGCCACGAGTAAATCAGGAGTTGTTCTGGTTCCATTGTAGTGCAAATATGTAGCCGGATCCTCATTGCTGTAAATAAGTTCCAGAGGGTTGCTGTTTAGCATGTCTATAATTTCCTTTCGAGCTATGTTTGCATCCTTGTAGCTTCATCTTGAGGAATGATCGTTGAAGTCTTCTTTTACTATAGTTTTGTGTGAGATGCTCAGAAAGCTAATACTATGGTTTTGTGTGAGATGTTCAGAAAGTCAAAGTGTCAATTCTGGGGTGGATTATAGACTGCATATATCTTGAAGTGCTTTTGATATTTCCAAATATTTAATCTGATTATTTCCCATTTGTCTTGTGTCGAGCTCATACTCTTGATTAGATCGTAGTGTGAGATGAGGCCTTCTTTAACTCCAGTTAGAATTCCACTTGCATCTTGCCGGTATTTAAGTGGAAGGTACAAGTTGTAACCTGGGAACTGATAGTACTTCAGTTTGTCATCCGAAATGGTAGATTCCATAATTGTAAAAATGTCTACATCATAGGTTTGTAGGATTTTCTATACTTGGATCTTTTTGTCCGGAGACATTCCTCCAACATTTGATCTGAAGACATTGTGATTCGCCCTGACGAGGGCGTTTTCACTTATAGTCTTGTGATTCGCCCTGACGAGGGCGTTTTCACTTATAGTCTTTTTTTAAAGCTAATCATAATAAATCGAAGTCAAAAACGAATGACGAGTTATAGACGTTTTTTGCCGTAAAAAATACGTTGTCCAGGGGGCACCACGTGGAGTTAAGTCTATCAAGCACCCCAAAGTCTAAAATTCATTGCGTAATTACTGTTATTGAAAACGTACTAATATCGAAATATGATGTTAAAATGTTACTGAAGTGTGTACTCTTGTCATCGTTGGGAATATGGAGGAACCTGCCGCTGAAATTGTTCAGTATGCAAAAACGATTCTTCCCGTATTTCACCATTAAAATTGCCTGGATCTATCAAAAGCTAACAAAATACCCATCTTAAATTGATGCCTCTAGGGAATGTATTTAATTTTAATTGGCCTATTTACATGTAGAGGCGCTATCATTAGTGATTCAGGGAGAGTGTTTGACCCCTTTAAAAATACGCGTTTTCAAAGTTTGGATCTTACCAATATTCATAAATGTGCAATTTTACTTAATTAACGAACTACTATCCACTTTCTAAGTGATTGTTTCATATAACTTGCGGAATGTCACTAATATATTTAAACAAATTTCATAATCAAATCTGTTAACTAACCCGAACATTTTTTTTTGGATTTAAAAGTGAAATTTAACCGATGCAAAATTGATCATCGGAATATTCTGTTCTAAAACTGTTTTAAGGTTATAACTTGTCAATATACTGAATATAAATGTAGCTCTACTTGATATAGCTCTGTTTGCTCACTGAGGGAAAAAGCACAGTTTAAAGTAACGGGTTTACAAGAGGCTTGGCTTGAGTAATGGGTAACTAATTGGTCTAGCCTTCATAGAATTGATGAGCTTTGATTGAAATAGCGAAATTAAAATTTCATTTTCATTCATAAGGAACACACGGCCCATCTAAAATGTGAATAAGTGGTGTCATTGCTCATCTTAAATACAACTGAAATTATAAACCGATTCATATAAGTAAACCAACCGTTAAAATGGCAAAACATTATATTTAGTTTATTAAAATATTTCATTTGATAACGCGTCTCAATGCATCATTGACGGGGGGGTAATGATATTTTTCTCCAAATTTCTAATATCATTTTCCTTTTTTCAACACAGCCTTAACTGCTTTTTTCGCAAGCTTCTGTTTTATTGCCGTCGATGGTTTTCTGTGACCCTTAAAAAATATATAAATTTTATTGTTAGACGAGCAAATTATTGAAATATATATTTTTATTTAAACGATAAATAAATAAGGCAAAAATGCTTTTTCAATAAACATATGTTTTGATTAGGACCTTCAGAAAAAAACTCATTAGTGACTTTTTCAAGGAATTAAATGAAATTAATCTTCATTACTGGCCTGTTCTTGTGCAGCCTTTCACATTGTGTGTGATCAATCGATGGCACAATATAAAAAGTTCATTTCATCTAGTAGGTTCTAATCTCTTGTTTTCTTCTGAGAAAAAATATGAAAACATTATATAATTTGAGAAATCTTATTACGAGGAGTTAATAGGGTATGAAGATTGCCGTGAATTTGATAAGATTACAAGAGATAATTATTTTCTTGTATTCCTCCCCCCCTTTCCTTGCAGGTCAAGCTAAACAAAAGACGTCACCTCCACTCATTGATTCCTTTTTAATTAAATGTTCGGAGATTACGTGAAAATCCCATGATATTTCCTTATTGCTAACAGTGAATCCAAAGTAAATTTTCTTCTTATCATTTCAAACAAACTAAGATCAATAAAATAAACATTAAGCATAAGAACAACAAGCTCATATTATACAGTAAATGACATAAATATTGATTTTTTAAATCTGAACTTTAAAAGAAAATGACGTCGAAAAGAACATGTTTTGAATAAAATACCTAGAAAATGAAATTAGTGGCGCATTCGGAGAAGGAAGTGAATAAAGTGTACCAAATACATAAAATAATTTTTTTAAAAATATTGAAACAATTTCAGAAATTCTTTCAAAACATTGTAATATATTCAGCAGTCTGTATGTTTTGGGCGAAAATGAATTAATCTAAACAATAGAGTCATTGTCATATAAATACTAGACAACGAGATGTCATGAATGATAAAATTTTACTTCAGAACAGAGAGAAACTTTGCTTTAGTGTAGAAGTTTTCTAATATCTAGCTTCTTCCAAGTCGACTCTTTTCTCCATTTACGCGACCTCATTTAGATAATCCACTTAATTAACACCGCGTTAAATATGTTGGGTAGTTAAAAAGAAATGGCCTCGAATAATCTGTTCAATACGAATAAAATTCGGTTAATAATCTCATACCCGTATATCCCATATAAACCAACGTCTAATATGATAACTATTATTAATTCATCAATGAACATGTAATCCATTTGCAACATGCGAAAATCTATTTGAAACTAATGTTTGAACGTTTGAAGTTTTCAGCCACGTAAATATTCAGTCATATACACATACTTCGTTTAACCTTTTCGGTGTGTTTCAAATAGAATTTAATATTAATTATACTTTTTCAACTTTTGGTCGACATGGCAACTTAAGATCCATTTAAATTTTTGGAATCATTACTGCCAAAAGTTCTTCAAGAAAGCCTATTCAAAGCTCTGACAAATTCATTTTTTAAATTACTGAACAATATTAAATAAAAGGAACCATCGAAAGTACTCTGAGTTCAATAAACGATTAATTGCGCAGTAGGCAATGTAAGGAAAAATTATGTTATAATGATGCGTCATTATAATATGAAAAATATCATAATTGGAAAAAAATCTATTCATTTATTAATTCCTTGGTGCTTTTACACTAAGAAAAATATATGTTTATTGCAAAATATTGTTCGAGATCTTTGATAATGGAAATCTTTAGTGCTTCGTAACTTACTGGTTTCGAAATTTCGTCAAAAGGCCTTTCATGCATGTCACCAAGTTCTCTTTTCGCCACATGTCTAGTTTTATCTACCCATTCAATAATTAACAATATTAAATATTGAATTAAAAAACGAATTTTAAAAAATAAGAAATGTCTTTTATGCATAAAATATGAAACAGAGTGAAAGCATAACAGTTAAAACAACAAATGGAGATTTTCAACCTCATATATATTTGAATGAAGGTAGTTTGTTGAAAGTAGGATTTTTAAGAAAAAGATTATCAAGAGGTTCTTTCAGCATTAAGATTTAAAGAAAATATCTCCCAAACTAACCCCTTTTTATGCAGCATTTCACATTGAAAACCAGAGCAACGACGAGTGCAAAAACCAAGACCTGTGTTAAGATTTATCCAGAATCAATTTTCGTAATAAAAGAACAAATAAATATTGAAAACGGTTTACTTACACCTCTTTTCATCGTATTTCAATGTTCTCACATTGCAATCAACTCTGATTATGAAATAGTTTCGTAGCCAATAAAACGCTCAGCGCATTAAAATCACAATTCGTTGGATGAATTTTAACGATTTTAGCAATTCACCAAGCCAAAACTCTATAATTTTATAGCTTATTGGTATATGAACAGAAGCTGGATTTAATAGTTTAATTTCAAATTTATTTCTTCCATTTGATCAAAAATTAATCACTGATAACTTGAACGTAACTTCATTCATTTGCGTTTCAAATATAATGAACCCAGCAATTTTGAGGTAACTCTACACAAGTTCAAATCCTTGACAGATAATATGCTCGTACAATTTTTGTCGAATTTAATGCAGATTTAGCAAATACTGGCAAATAACTTGTAGTGCGATTTCCTTTATTGTTATGTTTGCAGAAACAGAATTGTAATATTTGTGTGTGAAGACTGCAATTACTATAGAAAGCGGATAGCTTGAATTTGTCTTAAACGTCTTCTCTTAATTGTAAACATCGAGTGAAACATTCTCTCATTATGTGCCGGCCATGTTTGTTAGTATTGACTAATTGGAAGCATGAGCTGGAACCTTGTCTGAGTTTTCTATGAGAGCAATTGAAATTACTGCTTATGCACAATAACTTAAAGCTTCTGTTGATGCGGCAATTTCAAACAGTGTGTAAAGATTACGTTTTGGGAAAAATGTCATTTGAAATGTATGTAGAGGTTGCCACAAAGCAAGTTCCTAGTGCTGACGAAATAAGAAATTTGATAAAACGAAATTAACAGGAGATTACACGAAACGTAAGTTGAATTTTGCATCAGTGGTCATCAAGGTTCCATTTTTTTACAATTGCACTGCAATACGTCGATTCAAGGAAACTTCTCTTGACAAATTTCATCGTGGAAAGTAAATAGGATCACGCCGATTCAAAGAAGCGTCTATAAGTTCTGTATTATTTCCTCGACATCCAGAGGATTATTAGACGTTCGAGTTAATTTAAGAGAATACAGCCAAATTGAGTCTGTTTTATTTTTCGTAATCGATGGTGCTAGTAGTACAGAAAACATGATCTTGACCGG